CGGCTCGGCTCGGCTGGGCGTGGGCTTGGGCTTGGGCTTGGGCTTGGGCTTGGGCTTGGGCTTGGGCTTGGGCTTGGGCTTGGGCTTGGGCTTGGGCTTGGGCTTGGGCTTGGGCTTGGGCTTGGGCTTGGGCTTGGGCTTGGGCTTTATTGGAGGGCCTTTGGCCCGATAAGAAGTTATCTTTTTGGACCAAATTAAGCTCAACGCTTTGCCATTTTAACTTCAAAAAACAGCATGCAATTTTATTTAAAACGACAAGTAGTTTGTCTAACAAATACAAAAACGTCACGCTGTTTATTACTCGCCAGATATTTTAATTAAAACCGAGAGAGCGAGTCTTGGGGGATAAGTTTTTCGTAACTTAAAATTTCCGAGATCCTTCCCAAATCCCCACTAACGGGCACACGTTACGGGAAGTTGCTCCTCGTCTTCTCTTTAAATATCGTCTCTCCTCTTTCTTCATTCTTAACTTTTTCACGCAACAAAAAACCAGCAAATCTCCCAGAGTAATTTTTTGAGAGTGTTCGTAGAATTTTAGTTCGTTAGGTCGTTTCACGAGTGAAGCGTGATTCGTCTGCCTTGGTTGTATCCTGGGACTCGATATTCGTACAGTTTCGTCTCACTACGGAGCGAATATTAAGAGTTAAGGAAAGAGATTTATCTCGCCTCCATGTCTTATATAATCGTTTATTTCCTTAACTCCGTCTTTCNTTTCACGAGTGAAGCGTGATTCGTCTGCCTTGGTTGTATCCTGGGACTCGATATTCGTACAGTTTCGTCTCACTACGGAGCGAATATTAAGAGTTAAGGAAAGAGATTTATCTCGCCTCCATGTCTTATATAATCGTTTATTTCCTTAACTCCGTCTTTCTTATATCGTTCATGTCGATCCGGTTTTCCGGCTTTTACACTATATATACGATGGTTGGGATTAATTAATTAATTATTGTTATGACTTGTGGCACTAATCATGCAAACCACATACATTAATACAACATGGCTTAGCTTGACAATGGCGGTTTGACAATAATAGCCAGTGTTTTTCTTTCTTCTTTATTTATTTATGTTTTTTTTTACTTGCCGTGTTTGGGTTTCTGAACTTTCCTTGAAAGGATCATCTACACGGAGAAGCACCAAACGGATGCACTGAGTTCCGCCATGTGTTTACATTGGTTGTTTGGTCTCTTACCGCGTCATAATGCCAGCTTGAAAGTAGAACCATTTTTACCAATGTTTCATGGACTTCAACAGGGACGTCGCAGCTCTTTTAGGAGCCTGAGACAAGTTTTTACATCTGAATTTAAATTTTTTCAGCGATAATCAAGATATCATCTCAAAATGAACCAAGAAAATGAAAATAATAATAAAGAACATCTAAAACATTCATAATATCGTCTAAGGAATTCTAGTATTTCTTTCTTTCTTTCTTTTTTTGCTTCTAAGTCATATTTACTCATGAAAGCATGTTCAAAATTTTTATTAAATTCAAAATATAAAAATAACTAATTTTGATAACAAAAACTGAAACAAGCTGCGGTTTCCATATGTATATAATCAAAATAGATATTTAGTATGTTAACTATCAATATTCACACAACTAAACATGAGAAACTGATCATAAAATGTAAGTACAAAAGATTTTGTGGTAACAAATTTGAAGTATCAAAAATTATTAAAATCCTTATAAACAAAATAAATATAAATAAAGAGAGAAGTTTTTTTTTTTGTTGATGAATGGTTTTGTGATTAAGTGGAAAACAGAAAATTAAATGATTCTTAAATCATTCGACTAAGCGAAATTTTGAAGAGTTGAGACTAATGTTAACACTATCAATACGTGTGTTATTTACAAACGGGGTAACTGTTTTGATTCAGATGAATAGTAAGGGCTTGACTGATTCAAACGCAACGGTTGCGATTGCAGTTGCGGGAGTTTACGGATGTGGGTGGTTGCGGTATTTTACGATTCTAAAAAATTTGTATGATTGGTACTGCGTTTAGAAATTAGTGCGTTTGTAGAATATTTATGACTGGTTAATTACCAAATGCAGTGATGGTTAAAATATAAATAAACAATATTTACATTTTTTATAATTATAAAAATACCAAAATCATAATATTATAACAAATATAAAATTATACTTATAAAGTTTTAGTTTTAAAATTTTTAAAATATTATTATTCAAAATTTTATGATATTAATTAAAATATAATAGATATATTTTAGTATTATTATAATTCCAATTTAAAGTTTTTATTAAATATTTTTATTTTGTATTTATATTATTTAAAAGAAAAAGAAAAAAATTATCCTCCTACAACCGTTCGCATTCGCAAACGATAGTTAAAATCAGCTTTTGAATTTAAGAGATTTAGAATGGTTTGAAGTGATTCAGAACGGTTTGAGTGATTGTTGCAAAACGCCAACCGTTATCAACCGCAAAAACTATTTTTGGGAGTGATAGCAGAAAAATCATTCATGCTCTTAGTATATCTTGTCTCATGGATTTAGATATATAAAATATTAAGCTAGAGTTTAACATTATCTTGTATAAGTATTATAATTTTTTTTATGTTGAAAAAGTTCTTGTACATCTAGACTGTATATATGCGGGGAGGGGGGATGGCGGAAGCTGTCATATGTTGATGTTAATATAACTAACATGTAGGATAAGCATCTTCTTATATAATAAAAGAGAGTTTAGTCTCTTCTCCTTCAGCCACATCATCAGGAAGAGAGAGGCATTTTGTGTCACCTGTCAGTAAAATAAAAGCTTCCAATGAATTCTTTTTGTGCTACGCGTTTGTTTTGGTTTTGTGATTGGACTACGTTTTGCAATGTATGTTGGCCTTTCTTCTTTACTCTAACTGTAATTGAGAAGCCCATCTGTAAAATGATTGGGCCCTTCACCTCTCTCACTTGCTCAGAGACGGGGAGAAAACCACTGCATCTCTTGGTTACCTACTCCAATCCACCGTAACGGTCGTTTATAGTTTCTCTTCACAATAACTGCAACATTGATTTTCCCTTTCTCTATGCTAATTCTCGGGATCTGCAACAGTTTTTGAGGTCTCTTGCATTTCTCAGCAAACAAACATGAACTCCTATGTTTGTGGAACTGAATCAAAGATCGAGAACCCCTTCGCAATGGTCTGATCTCTCGGTGATTGTGTCCCCAAACCGAAGAGAGATTTGATGATGGTGCGAAACATGAATTATCAAAGGTTGGATTCAGCAGGTAATTCAAACACACTGCTTTCGTATTTTGATGTGATCAAGTTTTTTGTTTCGTTTGCTCTTAAGATTTTTGGTGGATTTTATGATTCCTAGCTCACAGATTAGAGAAGTTCTATTGGCGCTTGGTTTTTCCGTATTTATTTTATTGACCGATTTAGTGTTGCCGTCGATCAGACCTAAGTTAATAACACCAATACGACGTGAAGGTGTTGATTACAAAGTTTTTGAACCCGATCTTCTTGCATCAGAAGTCTCCGAGTTTTAGTCAGGAAAATATAAATAGTCGTTGAATCTGACATTTAATATGTGTTCTCAGGGCTTAGAAATCTCTTAAGGCAGCAACATATTGCAAGTCTCTGGTTATTTTCTACAATGTTTTGTGCCTTATGCAAATCGGGATGGTTGCAAAGGATCGGTTTACCAAGGCATAAAGAAATCTAAAGTATGTAAGTAATACTAATTTCTGGTTTATATATCTACCAAAATATGCATTTATCTAACAAGAACAAAAAAACCAGCTGCTTTGTGAGAAAGTTACTTGACCAGTCTTTCTCTTTCTACATGCTAATATACATGTTTGTTGGCGAGTGACTTTTATACTTCATAGGTTGTGGAATTAATAACACTTTATGAACTGTGTGACAAGATATATTAGTTTTCTATCTACTAGGTGGTGATCTTGCAGCCGCTTGGTTACAAAGGAATCACAATTATTGATGGAAACACGATTAGATGCTTCACGTTTCCAGACCAGGTAAACAAAATATTTCACTTTATATTCTTTGCAGCTTAGAAAACCTAATAGGACAATAAAAAGAGTTTTCGTGCTCATTATGCCAAACAGTCACTTTGTAATGCCTCCACTCTATTTAACTTAATCCAATGCAATTCTTTTGGACATTAATGAAGAGATGCGGGTAATTATAAGTACTTTCAACGACGACACGCAAGATACACAACGTTAATTTCGATGTCTCTCTGAATCTATGTATCACTCACCTTTAGAGGGATGTTTCAGTTTTCCTTAGTCTGTTCGATGGACTTGCCTTTCATATAAAGCTTCGGCTCGGAGCTTAAGGTCGTGGCTGCGACAAGCATAAGCCCCAAAGTTGTTGGAGGTGATTATACAAATGCATTTTTTTGCCTCACACATATGGGAATAACATGTCGTTTTTAGTAGCTAGAAGTGTGTTTCCTAAGTTTCATAAATACGTAAGCATTTTTTGAAGACTCACCTTTTCCAATTTTGTAGGTCGGTCTTTCTCAATTCCACATTTGGAACTCATACTTACGTCGACAGCTGGAGAAAAGTCTTACTATGCAAAGTAAGTCACTCTCATCCTAACATTTATTAGTATATATACTCCATTTTCTGAAAGAATTTCCTTTTTTTTCCAATTCACATTCAAACCCATTTTTGGATGGTAGGGGACGGCACAATCAATTTTATCAACTCAACAACTTTCACAAAGCTTCTTCCTGCCTAGAAAATATAAACGCTCACAATTGCTTAGCTTAGTGAACATGTTATCAAAACTCAGAAACTCAGGTACAACGTCCATCTGTCAAGATTCGGTTCACTAAGAATTTACCCATTTGACTTTTCATTGTTCTCTCATTCATCACAGTGTATTGAATTTCTCTGTACCAGGAAACTTACAGGAATACAAACTGATAACAGCTGGTGTCATATCGGCTCAAAGTGTTTAAAAATCTACAAAGAGAGGTTTCATCCTTCTCATGCGTCGTATGTGATGATTCAAACGATGTAGACTTGTAGGTGTCATCAGGTAACTAACATACTGTATAATCCAATTTCTTCTTAACAAACATCTTTGTTCAGTTCATCATATTCCCACCGACGTTTACAGGTACCGTGTGTCAAGTTGTCGTCCGTCTCAGACAAAGCGGACGCCGATGTCTTAATCGCTTTTGTTACAAAGATGGCTATATTAACGAACGTTGTCTGCCGCATAAGATCGCCATTTTATGGTCCAACAAATGCTTACCCACAAAATGTTATTTAGTATTGATATTACTTATTTGTGGTCAGCTATTAAAAATTGGTACTCAGTCAGTGCCGGCCTGAATAACCAGCTGGAAGGGGAGCTCCCACAGTACATAGCTGTAATACTCGCAAGCACATACACTTTCCAGCTCAAGTTATCTGTGTTTAATTTAACTTTGGATCATCAGCCTTCCACTGTTTCATACATCTTTATTAACGTCATCGTGCCTCAGTTCCATTTGTTCCAACTGTTCATTATCTTCTACAATGCTCTCTAAATTAGATAACAGTATAACACCATTTTTTTTCTTCTGCACTAACAGGGAAGATACGATGGACCTGATAACAATATGCTTGGAACGAGCTCACTAGCCTGTAAGAGATCAACTGGTGCCGATGGTAACGCTGAGAAGCCAGAACCCCCATCTGCTGACCAAGACTTTGTTCCCAAAAAATGAGAAAGCACTCAAGAAGGCACGGCGTAGCTCCACCTGGTTGTCTTAACTCACCACTACATTTGCTTATTTAAATAAGGATTTTTAGTAATGCTAGCACTTCCATTTAGTAAAAAATTCACTTTACGTTGTGGTGGACATTTTAAATTATAACTAGATTCTCACCCGTCCTTGGAAAGGACGGGTATATTTTGTGTTTAATTTTTTTTTGAAAAATTTAACTTTTATATTTAGGTTTTTATATAGATTTGTGTTTAATATTAATTTAATTTAATATTACAGAACTTTCAATAAATAAAATACATAATTGGATTATTTTGATTATTTTTTTCTATTGAATTTATATAAAATTATATCTTTTGATTAGTAAAACCAGTTTTATAAACTTTATTAAAAGACATGGTAAGCTGAAGGAGGAAATGTAAAAGCAAAATGTTTTCTTGTTTTTCTGTTTATGCTATATTGTTTATAAATAAATATTGATTTTTGTTCTTTAGAAAACAACCCTGCTAAAAAACGAAAATGTCAATAATGTTATCATGAATATTATGATAAATTAGATGTAGTTATATACTTGCATTTAAGTCTAACAGTTCATGGTCATATAAATATTACATTATGCATACGTAAATTGTTGTATCTAGCAATTAGAGTAGTGGTTCCCAAGAATATAGGAGAAGTTATAATAGAGACTGAAAGTTTGTAACTGATATATTTTTTGCTAAGTACGTTACTGATGTACATATATATAATAGTTGCAGTTTTTTTTATTATAAAGTAGGGCCAGTGGCAATAATAGTAATATTCCAAGATAAAACAGGGGTAAATATTAGCAATGATTCTGTTTTAATAAAGAAGATATAAGAATATTTCGAATTTGTTATCATCTCGGGTTACGGCGGTTACCAACTGTTCACTAAGAATGAATGATAAAAAGCTATTTAAACATGCCAACTACTTAATCCTACAAGCTGAATATGCTTCTGCCCAGTTTCCAAAGAAACAAAGCTCACATCCACGTGAATTATTGAATTGCCGCAAATCTCATACAAACCACTTTTGCTGGCAAGCTAACAATGTTTGGCGAGTACGGTTCTGTCGTCCAGATCATCTATCACTTTGTAACTTCGAACTACCCTTATAGGCAAATACCCTGTGATTATCCGAAGCACATATTTGACATACAGTCTCATTTATTCATCCACAGGGCCAGTCCAGAGAGCAAGCTACTCAAACGGTCGCTTAGGACATCCAAGTTTAAAATGGCATATTTTCAGTAATTTTTCTTATATTAAGAATTTTTATTAGTATTTATATGAAACATAATTTATAATTTGACTGATGATATTTGTAAGAAAGTTTAGCATTATTATAAAAATTTTATTAATAAATTTCTTGAGTAAGTGTATAGAAAAATAATTATATTTTTTATATAAGAGATTTCACATTCGCAAATGATTTTAGTAAAATTAAGATGAATGTAGTATAATGTTTATGATAATATTTAAAAGTATTGTGATATAGTTAATTTTATGAAAATATTTTTACTTCTTATTAATGAAATAAAGCGTGCAAAGGTCTTTGTTGTATGCTTTAGTTGTAAACGACTTCTCTTTGTGTTTTATTCGTTTTTTGTTTCAAATAAATGACAAATCGATTGTAAATATGTTTTTTTGAAGTGAATAAATTTACTTTAAAAAAATTGAAACAGTATGTAAATTTTTAATGTCACTTATATTCTAAATACATATATAATGATGTTAGATAAAACATAAAAATAACATGTTAGAATTTTTCTTAGGACATCCAAAAAATATTGGACCGGCACTGTTCATCCATACAAATATACTTTCCAAAACATCAATTTAAGAACATGCGATAGACGAGCATAGATGCTAAGCCCTGGGTGATCAGTGATTTACATGCATTCGTTTTTTTTTTTTTTTTTTTTTTTTTTTTGACAACGAAAGGCTGATCTATTACTCAAGCTTGAGGTGGTCTGGGAATCCAGACCGGAATAGAACAACCAACAAACAAGAGATCCCGATAGAAGGATCGAGCAGTCTTAGCTAAATAATCGGAAACAACGTTGAGAGATCTAGGAACATAAGAAATCTTGAAATTTGGGAAGCAAATCCTCAACGTCGAGATCCTCTCCAGTTCCGTCGAGAAGTTTGGCCATTCATGAGGATTTTTGAGCATTGCTAACAATTCCTTGCAATCCGTCCCAAAGCTCTGACATGGCGAATGTTGAAGCATGTTCTCCATTGCCCACCGCAGTGCTTCCAGCTCAGAATGCAAAGCCGACTCCACTCTACTCATATTACGCATCCCCATCAACTGAGTATTCCCCATACTGTCCTTCCAATCCCAACCACACCCGGAGAATTGATCTATAGAGGTCCAGGAACCATCTATCCTGCAAATATCACGTAGGCTTATGGCCTGACTTTCAGTGTCATCCTCCTCTTGTGTGATTACCACTTCCTTCTCATTAGCTTGAAACCACGCAAGACACTCACTCTCAGCATACCGAGCCAACTCCAGTGGATCTCTATCTATTCCTCTGAACAATTTATCATTCCGAGCCTTCCAAATGTACCATATTAGCCAAGGATAAGGATCCCTGTCTAACTCTGGCCCACAAATGGTCTTCTTCCGCCAGAATAGATAGTCCATGTTCGCATAAGTGCTCTCCAATGGGAACAAAGTTGGGCTTGTGGGTATAGATGCTAAGGCCCATACCTGTAAAGCCGGTGGGCATTGGAAAATTGCATGTGCAATTGTTTCATCCGGTTCTCCGCATCGTGGGCAGAAATTGTCGCATCTCATGTGTCTATGATTCAGCGCACTCGTAACAGCCACTTGTCCCGAAATCATCTGCCACATAAGATGGCACATCTTCGGGGGAGCTTTAACTTTCCAGACTTGCGCTTGAAGCCCTTTGACACTGGGTTCATTAACCAGATTTTCCTCCTTCTTCGTTAGAATATTCCGAGCTACCCAATAACCGGACTTAACTGTGTACTGCCCACTTCTTGTATAACTCCAGCAGTGTGTGTCTCTACGATGGGATGAACTAACTGCCATACTCCGTATGAGAGGTATATCAGTAGCGTCAACATAATGTGCCAGCCGATCCAGATCCCAAGACTTTGACTCCTGATTGATGAGATCGCTCACCCTCATATTCGGATTTAGAACCGGAGCAGATGCATTCGCTGGTCTCGCTGGAAATGTTGGAACCCATGGGTCCTCCCATACCTTGACATCATAGCCTGAATGGATTTTATGTCGAACCCCCAATAATAATAAATCTCGTGCCGCCGAAATACTTGTCCACACATATGATGGGCTGCTGACAGTGAGCTTTCGCAAAGGCGAGCTAAGTCGATAATACCGCCCTCTCATAACACGAGCTACCAAAGAATCTGGATTTTGAGCCAATCTCCACAACTGCTTTGCTAAAAGCGCCAGATTGAATTCATGGATCATTCTGAAGCCCATTCCTCCTTCCTCTTTAGGTAAACATAACTTATCCCATGTTGTCCAGTGTAAGCCTCTCTTTGGTGGGTTTGAGCTCCACCAAAATTGTGCAATGGCACTAGCCAAGGCATCACATATCTCCAATGGGAGCAGAAAGCAAGACATAACATAGGTTGGGAGAGCTAAAAGGATAGACTTTATCATCACTTCCTTACCACCTCTAGATAACCACCTGCATGTCCATCCATTCACTCTATGCCGAAGCTTGTCTTTTAAGAATGCAAACAACTTACATTTCGAGCCACTGATATCCTCTGGTATCCCTAAATAAGTCCCCATTCCTGCTTCACTTTGGATCCCAAGTGTATCTTTGATCTCCTGTCTGGCCTCTTGACCAATCCGCTTACCAAAGAGTAAAGAGGATTTGTCAAAATTAATGCATTGTCCAGATGCTTGTCCATACTTCCTAACCGCTTTCATTACTTCTTCACATTCACGGGGCTCCGCCTTACAAAAGAACAGGCTATCATCAGCAAAGAGTAGGTGGGATACCGACGGACACGCACGCGTGATGCGCATCCCCGTTATCTTTCCCTGATTCTCAGCGTGATTAAGAAGGCTAACGAGCGCTTCCGTGCATAGAATAAAAATGAAAGGGGACAAAGGATCTCCCTGACGTAGACCTCTCTCCGGAACAATATTCCCTCTTGGTTGACCATTCATAAGTACCTTGTACTTAACTGATGTTACACATCGCATAATCCAGGTAATCCATACTTCAGAGAAGCCCATCTTCCTCATTGTGGCTTCGATGAAGGACCATTCCATCCGATCATATGCCTTGCTCATGTCTGTTTTGATGGCCATCCTCTTATTACGTCCACTCGGTTTTGTTCTTAAGGCATGGAACAATTCCTGGGCAATCATTATGTTGTCAGATATCTGTCTCCCAGCAACAAAGGCCGACTGGGTTTCAGAAATTCTGTTAGGAAGAACCTTTTTTAACCTCTGGCATAAGACCTTTGAGATTATCTTATAACTAACGTTGCATAAGCTTATTGGGCGTAACTGGCTCATCTGATCCGGTTTATCCACCTTCGGAATTAGGCATATATTAGTCTCATTTAACCCGTTGGGAATCGTACCTTCAAACAAGAATTGATTAACCATAAGAGTTAAATCGTCTTTTACAATATCCCAGAATTTTTGGTAAAAAAGCGCAGTCATTCCATCAGGCCCTGGAGCCTTCTCTGGATGCATTGCGAAAAGCGCGACCTTGACCTCCCATTCAGTTATCGGTGCTGTGAGATTTGCATTGTCTGCAGGTGTAATGGTTGAAGAGACCTCAGATAATGCTTCCTCTATCTCCTCAGGATTTGAGGATTGAAATAGTTGTCTAAAATAATTTGTAGCGATGGCTACATTGCAAGTCCTTCCTCATCCTGTACCACATTTCCATCCTCATCCAAAAGCTGTGTAATTCTGTTTCTTGCCCTTCTCTGCTTTGTGAGGGCATGGAAAAATTTGGTATTCCTATCTCCTTCTCGTAACCAAAACACTCGACACTTCTGCTTCCAGAACATCTCTTCTGCCTTAAGAGCATCAGATAGTTCCTTTAAAGCCGCAGCAATCTCTTCAGTAGTTGCATCATCGTTTGAGGATAATTGGTCTACCTTTTC